TTATTTAAGGGGGCCCTTAGAAAAGCTCAACCAACCACAAAAAATTGTCTGAAGACACTCACAGTAACCCTAGAAGCAAACACACAAGTTCTTACCAAACTTGTAGAGAGAAAATTAACAAAATTCCTATGCTTAACAACATATTCCAGTGACATTTTAATTTCTGCATCTATTTAGCCTGCAAAACAAGTTCAGTACCTCTGAGGGCAAAATTACTCTTGTTTCATGTCTTGTTCTTAAAATTATGTAAGAACGGACATTGAAAATCAGGTCTCCCAAACAGTCATTTCTACCCTGGCAGATGTCTTTGACCTAGGGTTGACAGGACAGGAGGAGAGCAAGAAGAAAGGATTTTTTTAAATCTAGTACAGGTTCTACCTCCTGGGCTGCTGATGCTGATTCCCAGCATGGAACTCCTGCCTTTCCCAGGAGAAGACACACACCTCAGAATAACCTGTCACTGGTGCCAGCAATACAGGGAAGGACAAAGTGAAACTCAAGTGTTTACTGAAATATACTGAAAATAAACTTACACCCATCTCTGGACTTCTCTATTTGTTCTCGAAGAAATCTGTCTTTGTGGAGATTGACATCACCAAACCAGAAATCCACTTGCTTGGCTATATCTGCCAGCACCTGCTTAACTCTTGATCTCTTCTTCTTCTCTCTTTCCTTCTTCTGCTCGGTGCTTTCTTCTTCCATGGCTTTGTCTCTCTCTGTTTCAGTCTCCATTCCTGTCATTCTGCCAAATGAGACATCAATATAATTTTAAAAACACAAAAGGGTTTTTTTCAAGGAGTAAATGTTCTGGTTTAATCTTCTGCCCTGTCATCAGAAAAGCAAGTTACTTGCCAAAAAGAGTCTACAATAACTAAAGCTGAAAAGCAGGTAATTTCCCTCCTCATGAACATGCTTTTCTAAGAATTGAAAATGATACACAATTTTTTCTCCACTCCCCTTAACTCACACTACAAACCACTAGAAAGATCACACACAAAACCCAGGAGCACTTCACACTTCAGAAACTAACCTTGTATTAGCCTTGATCGTGGCAGATCTGGTAACAGTAAGGCTGGTTTTACAAAACTGTCTATTATGTCAAAAATGCAAACCACTCACTCCAGCAGCTACCAAAGCCCTGCCCAAGAGCAGCAGGTCAATAAAGTGTCCCCAATGGCAAACCCGGGTCTGTCACAACTCCAGAACAGGCTCCTGGAGAATAAACCCTACCTAGAACCAAGTGACTTGCTATACAGATTCATCTTGAAACACATAAAACCGTTTTATTGCACCGATTCATCTCTTTTGTTCGTGTTCCAATTCGCTGTAGCTGAGGCCTGCCAGTCACCACTTCAGTACCTCATTTCACACCGGCAAAACAATGCAGCGCTGCCAGAAGCAGACAGCTCTTGGAAAATTAAATTACCACAAAAATTAAAGCCATTAATGTCGCAATCACCATATGAAAGACTTGAGCAGCAGAGAGGGAAACACAGCACAGCCATCGGAGAGGAAGCCCACCTCGACAACAGGATGGCAAAATGGAAATGGCCCACAAATTCTTGTGCAAATGAGGCTTCCTCAGGCGGAGATCAGCTTCTCCCCCGCTGGGAGCTGCCGGCTCAAGATAGCGAAAGGTCAGCAGTCCCTTGGGAAGATAAGCCAGGTAAAACGCTCAGCAAGTTCAAGCTCCACTCAAGGCCTGCAGCAGCGTTTTTAGATTAATAACCAGCAGGCAGCACCTTCAGTACCCGGCTGAGGGCCGCACTGAGGCGCCTCACCAGTGTAAAATGTCACCATGGGCTGTCTGGCCTGGCTGCCAGCATGGAGGGACCACACCAGCACCCCAGCGTGGCCCAGCACAGCACAGCTTTGTTTCAAAAAGCCGTCTGAGTCACTGAGCTCGGGGACTTCCTTCCCAGAACAGGGAAAAGCAGCTGCAAGCTGCACTCCAGGCTTTCCTCTCACTTTGTGCTTTACAAACGCAGCTTTGAGGAAAGCACTTCATCTCCTCCCGAGTCAGAGCAAATATCAATGATTAACAGGTACATAAAACCCCAGGAATTAATTCAGCAATGCCCACGTGCCCGTGTTCCTCACATGCCAACTCTCACACTACCAGCACTACTGGGATAAACAAATGAAAATCAGAGCAAAGCAAAACCTCACACTGATAAAGCAAAGAATATTCTCCCCAAAAGAAATAAAATCGCAGTGCCTGTGTGTGCCAGAGTGAAGCCAGAAAAGAGGGGACAATTAATCAGGAGGAAGGAACTTCAGGAAAGCGAAGATAAGACATAATAAAAAAACAACAAATAAACAACACAGCTGCACACTCATCTATAGACTCGATAAAAACTAAAGATTTCAGTGCTAACCTACACACAACCTCAGTTTCTATTATTATCAACATCTGGAAAACAGAATTAAATTCAACTGTAATACAAGGCCTGGAGGAAACAGGGTGCAGATATAAAATATAATTTATTCTTTTAAGCACGGATGCAAATGTTTGTTTTAAAAAATAAAATGAGGCAAGAGATGATGAGGGAAAAAAAGGAGGAATTCAAAATACTTTGTGTACTATGAAAATGTTTTTGTGGAGTCACGGGCAACCCTAGGTATGTACTGCAGGATAAATGCAAGTATTCAGCAAACCTGAAACTACTTAGAAAGACACATCCTGAAACATTTGACACCAATACAGACATAGGCAGAGCTGCAGGCTGAAGTTCCTGCCCTGCCCTGAAACGTCCCTCTATGCAAAGTAAGGTAACAAAGGACAGGAGTTAATACATGGGGGCCAGCAAAAATTTCTTAACCTAAAACCAGAAAAACTTCTACTTTTCCCCTCCCATTTTACAGAATAAAACCAATGCATTATTTTAATCTGCAGTTTTCAGGCATTCCATGGATTTCATGAAACTGGTGTGCCCACAGGCAGAAAAGGCTTAGCTTCCACTTGACAGTGATGAGTGTTAAAGCTGTTCCCACACCTAGAGAGATCCCTGGGCGCTGGTTGTGCCCTTCCCTCTGGCACCTCAGGAGGGGCAAAGTGGATTTATTCCTGTTCAAGACTGGACGTGGGACTGAGTGCCGTGGTCTGGGTGACAAGGTGGGGATCAGCCAAAGGTTGCACTTAATCTCAGGGGTCGTTTCTGTAGTTATAATTAAAATATATGCCAGCACCAGATTCTGATGGGGTGGATTCACCTGTACTACACCAAAAGGACAGCCCAATTTCTTCACAGTATCTCACCCTAAAGAAACAGAAGTGAATTTTAAGAACTTATTTCTGGTTCTTCCCTGTGGTGACAACCAGGTGATTAGGGAACTGAACAGGCAGCAGAGCTCCTGGAGGTAAACAGAAGGAATAAGTACATGGAAGCAGAGTGAAGGTGGTTACAAAAACCAAGCGTCCTGCGGCCCAGGTAGCTGCTGCATTATACCAAAACCACTGAAAATATATGGGAAAACTTCACCTTATTTACTCCTCAAGTAAGGGGCAGACCACAATGTGAAATAGATTTTTCTAGCTCTGACTTATGCTGAGAAGCCTGAGCACCACACACTTACCAACGACCAGGTACTGACCACTACAGGTGTAACTGCTGAAGGGAGTTACAGATTTTACCGACACAACACTTAAAAAAACAAGCACAGACTAACTCGAAGGGGCCCAAAGCCCCCTCAGCACGAGTTCCTCATTTCACCAGGCGCCAAGACACGACACCGCGCACAAGAGCCACCTGCGCATCACTTGCGGGCAGAACCACCTCAGCGCCCGGGGGCAGTGGC